AGTCTGCTTCTCCCTCTGACCCTCCCCCCTCTCATGTGCTCTCTCTCTCTCATTCTGTCTCAAATAAATAAATAAAATCTTAAAAAAAAAAAAAAAGAGCACACCGAGGACCCGTAAATAAAAGAAAGACACCCAGGGCGCACACCCAGGGCGCAGGCGTCGGCTCGAAGACGCCTCCGCTTCTGAGGTTTGTGCAGCTTATGCAGGTCAGCAGCTGTCAGCCAACTGTTTTACTACAGCACATTAAGAAAACTGTCACCAGTTGAAAGTGGAGTGGGATGGGGAGCCATTTAGAGGAGGAGAGTGTCACTAAATCAAACGGGAACCTGGCTCGACAACAGGGCGGGGGATCCCCGCGCTCCCCACTGAGGTCACCAGCCCTCTGGGCCGCAGGTAGTTCGCTGAGTGGGGTGGTTTCCCAGAAGCCACCCCCCCGGGGGTCTGAGAGGCAGACAGATAAAACACAGGCCAATACGATGACCACAATGACCACAGCCCCCGCCCCCGGGGAGCAGGCCCCTCGATGGCAGGCTTGGGGCACAAAGAGCAGGTTCCGGCAGGAAGACACCCCTCCGCTCAGGCCCTGGTGAGCCCAAAGCCACAGGTGTCTGGAGCCACGGCCACGTGAAACACACAGGTGTGAGGAGGCGATGGCCTCAGTGGGACCAGCCGAAACCCTCAGCGAGCAAAGTCACAGAGAGGGTCGGGTGCCTGTCCTCGGGGTCCCTGGGGCTCAAAGCCACCGTGTCAAGGGCTAGCCAGGCTAGACCCAGCCCTACAAGAGTGAGTCCACCAGGCATAGTAAGGATCGCTGCCCCCGAATTCCAGAAAGTTCTTTATGTCCTTGGGTCTCGGTTTCCCCACCAGGAACACGAGACTACAGATCTACGAAACGATGCATGGGGTATCCCTAGGATGATGTGTGCACAGACCGTGCCGCTGCCCTCGGGGACAGGAGCGTCGCGAGGGGCGCCTGGCCTGCCTGGGGCATATCTGCAGGTGCCTCCACAGCCCGACAACCCAGCACGTGCTTGCTGGTCGCCCCGGCTCAGTCGGTCACCGCGCAGCACCCCCTCTGCTGACCATCTACGTCTGTGCCCCTCTCGTTCGTGGTTCTTCACTGGGGATGAACCCGCTCCCCCACCAGGGACACCTGGCCATGTCTGGAGACGTTCTTGGTTGTCACAACTGGGAGGGAGTGACCGGCATCCAGGGCGTGGAGGCCAGGGACACGGCTGAACAGGACGGTCCCCACCACGGACAGCTGTCCCGCCCCATGAGTCACCAGCACCGGGGGGGAGCGGCCCTGCTCTAACCGGCTCGCACGGTCCTGAGAAATGCCCCAGCCGTCTTGACACCAGCACAACCCCGACGAGCCTCCAGGGGTGTCCAGAACCCGTGCAGAGACCCTGATGCTCAGCCCCGCCACCGGCCCTCGGCGGCAACGTGGAGCCTCCACGGCCACCTGCCTCTGGCCCGCGCATCCCTTCTGGGGACCGGCGGGGGGCTCCCCTCCACAGGCGCCGGCCCTGAGCCCCGCTCCTCCATCTTGTTGACGCACGTCCCCACTCCCAGGTCCGCGCCGGGGCCCCAAACGAAGGAGCCCAGAGGGCAGCCCCTGCTGACCCCATCCATCCCCAGGCCAGAAATCCCCTCCCAGCTACTGTCCTACATTGACAACAGTGTGGCAAGCCGATGGCCTGGGGGTCTCCGCTCATGGCCTTCCAGAAGCAAGCCGGGCAAGGCGGGGCAGGGGTCAGCTGGGGGTTCCGGGGACACGGCTCACCATCTGCCCCACACACACGCTGGCCGCCTCCATCATGGCCCCGTCGGCGATAGAGCGGGCCGACTCCTTCTCGATGTGCGGGTTTCCGGAGAGCAGCTCCTCCACCACCTGCCGGGTGAGGTAGACACACGGTGACCTCGGGCCTCCGTCCGGGCCGGGGGCGGGGAGGGGCCAGGAGCCCTGGCCGGCGGGCGGAGGAGCATACTTTACATTTCGATATTCTTCCAGGGTGATGCGGCCGTCGCTGTCCGAGTCATACATGTGGAACAGAACTGGGGGCGACAGGGGGGGGCTCGGTCAGATGAGCCGGGAGGGGAGCCCCACGTCCCCCTGCTTCCCCAACCTTCTTGCTCAAAATGAGCCAAAGACATCCATAATGTAGAGGTCAAGGGCAAAGGCCATGGGGTCAGACTGCCTACTTCCTGGTGGGTGACCTTGGGCAAGTGACCTAACTTCTCTGAGCCTCAGCTTTCCCATCTGTCAAATGGGAATAACAACAACAGCCTCTATTTCCGGGTGCTGCACGGGCTCAGGGAACCACAGAGCTGGCGGATCAGGACCAGGGATCCCGGCACACTCTGAGCACAGAGGGGACATTAATGCAAAGACAGATCAATGTTATTTCAAAGTATCATTCCTCGGGGCGCCTGGCTGGCTCAGCTGGAAGAGCGTGCGACTCTTGACCTCGGGGTGGTAAGTTTGAGGCCCGTGTTGTGTACAGAGATTACTTAAGATTTTTTTTTTTTTTTTTTTTTTTTAAAGAGGCATCATTCCTCAAAGACCCAAGCAGGCAGCTCTCATCAGCAGGTCATGGACCCCACTGCCAACATTCCAGCCCCTGGCTGATCTGAGCCGGCCCCCCGTGGGCACAGGGGAGGGACACCAGCACCTCCTCTGGTTAGTCCACTTTGTGTCATTCGCTTTGCTCCTTGATGGACATCACTCTGCATCGGGCAGCCCAGGAGAGGCCAGGAGCCAAAGGGAAGGCAGCCCCTCTGGCCCAGCAGCGCAGCCTGCAGCTCACCGAGTCCCCCACGCTGCCACTGACCCAGCACCGACCGGACACCCCGGGCAACATGCGGCAAACATCTTCACGTCTCATCTGCATGTGACCCTGCGAGGCGAGGCTGCCCTGAGCCCATTTCACACACAGACTGTACTGTGGAAGCTCAGAGAAATTAACGTGTTTGCCCACGGCCGCCCCGTTAAGGGAAGGGAAACCGGGAGTCTCCACGACCCCTGACCTGGCCCTCAGAGCAGGTGGGACGCTGGGCCGACACCGGGCTCCCCCGCTGGTCCGGAGCACCAGAGGGGGGCCTCGGGGGCCCCCAGCCCGGACAGTTCCCACCAGCCCTCACGTACACATTCCAGAGCTAAATACGGCCCAGTCCCCATGTTTACTTATTCCCGCTAACGAGCCTGAGCCTCTGGGTGGCCTACGGCGGGATGTCAGGAGTCCTGGGAAAGTCCGCACAGGGCAGGGACACGTGACGCAGGCCACCCCGGGACCCCGTGCTGCTGGCCAGCCTGGATCACGACGACGCAGGCTCCAGAGCCCAGGGACCAGGGGGGCTCCGCCAGGACAGATCAGCCAGAGGCCCGTCTGGTGAACCTGGCGTCTGAGGCAGCTCAAGGACGAGGGAAGAAACAGGTTCACGGAGCTCCTCCCAGGTGCCAAGGGCGCGCGCTGCCTGGGTGACCTCACTGAGCCTCCGAACCAGCGTGTGTTCACGATCAGCCACCCCGTGTTCCGGTTCGAGGTCACACAGCTGCTCAGCGGAAGGGGCCCGATGGGAGCCCAGGTCTGTCTGAACCAAGGGCCTTGCCCTTTTCACATCCCCCGAGAACCCCAGCCGCCACGGCACAACCTGGGGGGAGAATCACCCCCTGGGGGCCTCCGTGGGTGCTGTCAACTGGGACGGACCAACCAAAGGACGCGGGTTGGCGTCCCCCAGCCCTCCCCTCCGCACTCGCCCACCCGCCAGCTGCAGGGGCGCGGCGGAACCCGGGGAGACGCGGTCCGGCCCCGACGCGCACGCACATCTCAACTTCTCTTTCCGGCACAGCTGCACCTGCTCCTCGTCCATGGTGGTGTCGATAGGCCGGAAGTAGGACATGATGGTCAGGAAATCCTCAAAGTTGATCTCGTCAGCCAGGCCGCTGGACCCCTTGCGCAGGTTCCTACGGGAGCAGAGAGGGACATGGCAGCAGCGCGTGAACCCCGGATCCTGTCCCTTCGCCTGTGATGCTTCGGGGAACGTGGCCCTTCTGGGCCCACGCTTCGCCCGCGATGGCCGTCTCAGCCTTGGGTTCCGTGTCCCAGCAACCTGCTTGCAGGGGCGCCAGGGCGGGAGGGGGGTGCCCCCGGAGGTTTAGCCCAAGCCCGGTGCTGCCCTCCCAGAGCTCACCGCACAGGGGGCCGGGGCGAGACCACAACCACACTGCTGCTGGTGAGGGCCAGGGTGCCCAGGAGTGGGCACTCACACGTGGGGAAACCAAGGCACTGAGCAATTCAGTAACTCATCGAGCCACCTCTCCTTGCCCTTTCCTCCAGATCCGAAGCTGGCCAACTCCTGTCCGTGGCCCAACCCCCGCGTGCCGCCTATTTCTGTCCAGTCCATGGATGAAGAGGGGCTTTTAGGTTTTTAAATAGTTGAAAAAATGTTTGGGGGGAGGAAAAACCCAAAGTAATAATAGCATCTCATGACAAAATTTCATAAAAACTACGTGCAATTCAAATGTCAATGTCTTTAAATAAAGTTTTATTGGCACACAGCCACGCCCATTCATTTACTCAGTGTCTGTGGCTGTTTTCATGCCACCACGGCAGAGCTGAGCCGCTGTGACAGACTCTACATGGCCCATGAAGCCTAAAATATTTACTCTGTGGCCTTTTACAGAAAAAGTTAGCCGACTCCTGCTCTCTATCAAGCTGTTTGCAATTCCGGTAGTGATCAGCTCGGTAGCGCTGAGTCACTGGTTTATTGCCAAAGTGCAAAGTTTACTGATAACTTCAGATCTTTTAACAAGTTAAGGAGGCTCGAGGTTGTCCCTAGCAACATGCTTTGCAGAAGGTGCCAGGAAGGGCCCACGTTCCAGGCGGGGCTCCAGCAGGGTCCGCCTCATGGCCGCATGGTGCCTGGCGGCAGACGGCAGGGCCTCAGCAAGCGGGCAGCTTTCATTCCTTTTGCAAAGATGCCCAGTTTAGAGCAATCTTTTTCATCCTTAATTTTCTGATGATTGTGTAAGGAACAGAGAGCCCTTGGAGGTGGGGAAGGACTGCCCTCCATCCACAGTCCAGGTCCTGAAGGGGATTGGGAAGCAAGGTTGACCCTGGTCTTTCTTGAGAGGAAAATTCTGTCTCTGGGACCCACTCCAAAGTCCTCCCCCCACCCCTTTGGAACTTCCGCGACAAGAAGCGAAGGATGTGGGGACACCTGGGTGGCGCAGTCGGTTAAGCATCTGCTTTCAGCTCAGGTCATGACCCCAGAGTCCTGGGATCAAGCCCCGCATCGGGCT